AATAAAATTTGTATGAATTTCACTTTTGTTGTTATTAAATACATTTGAATAATATATTTTTATCATATTTAAAAATGTTCAAGATTCAGAGGATTATGGTTTCAGCATATATTCAGCATATATCAGCTAATTCTTAACGAAGAGTAGGCTTCCTGAATGTCCAGCTGCACAATAATTGCTATTAAGACAAACGAGAAAATACTTTTATAATGATAAGTATTTCTGTAATTTGTCACTTCGAGTATAATGTAACAGTCAAATGTATGATATACACTCACCACTCTCAGAAGCGACGATACCATTATTGCTTCGATTGCTCCTGCGGAATATGTCTCTTGACGGTAGAACTGGGGCACTAGGCATTCGACGGACGTCTTTTTTTGAATACCCAACTCTCAGTTCGTGATTGGAATCCGTATATCTGGAAAAAAAATATTATATTAATGTATTTACTGTGCCAAATAATCCATATACCTATGTGTTGCAGATGTTAGTCGTATGACTCGTATGATCTTATTCTAAATTGTTAAAATGTCATCGTATACTTAAAATATTTCATCACGAGTAGGAAATGTTGGTATATAGGTAACTTTATGTACATAAAATGTTTAATACACCTATTCTAAAACAGTGAAGTATTTGAATTTTGTATTGATCGAATTGTACAATTATTTATAAGACTAGGGTGTCACACTACAGGGAAAAAACATTGTTTGTGTAATTTTTACCGGGAAAGTCGTACTATTTTCCTGTAGTAAACCACCAGTTTTAACAAACTATCTTTTTGTAATCAGAATACCAAACACAGTGGTTATCTATACTCTATGACGTACGTTTGTTAATCGAAAACGAACTCGACGTGTTACAAATCGAATCGAAATGAGCAACCGAAATATTATCAATTATTAGCGATGAGTGATAGCAAAAGTCGTCGTCATCGGGAAACAGAAAAATAATGAAAATAATGAAAACGTATTAATCTATTATCATCGTCATCCCCAAACAACGAAAATGATTTAAAAATTAAGTTCGTCAGTCACTCAAATATTGATAATTTTATCATTTGTCAAAACAATATTTTGTTTTACTACTATGTATAGAAAATAAATAGAATAATGTTAACATAAACGATTCAAGTGACAATATCGGCCATTCCGAAACGCTCTATCGTGACAACGGGTCTCTTCTAAACAATATACTCAAAACCATAACAGTTCCGGGCAAACCGGTACATAATAATATTATGATGGTAACACTATATAGGTAAGCGCCGACGCGTATAATGCGTGTGAAGTACCTAATAGATTCGTATCGACCGGTCAAACGTAACAAAAAAAAAAAAAAAACTAGTAAATTCTCGTTCGCATCTTATTGTATTATAAGTATTAATATTTATTATGATGATGATGAGCACATGTTTTCAAGGCGGTATTATTACCGTCAGTTAGGTTCCCCGAGAAAACACATACCTCGGTGGTAGATACACACTACCTGTACGTATGACTGGGCCACGTCATGTTTTTAATTACCCACAATATCCTTGACCTATCGAGAGCATGGTATTATGGTATTCGGGTTCATTGAGTGACATTCAAATAACATATTAATATTTTGTTGTTGTCTCATAACAGCGTAAAAGTATTCAATCCATTTTATGTTGATACTTGATACTAGCCGGGTATCGAATAAACAGTTTCACTCTGTGACCGTGTGAAGTTCGTTAAGTGAACATCTATTATATTATATAAAAGTAGCTGTTGATATAATAATCGTTTAAAACGAAAATGTTAGCCACAGAAAGTGGTCTTATGTGTATATAATGTGCTTGTTTGGGTTTTCGGGGAATAACTACACGACATTAGATACCATACGAAAAACCTCTGTGTAGTACACACACACACACACAAAAACAAAAATCTGCCGAAAATATAAAATCTATTGTAATGATAAATATATAAAAAAAATCGAGTTTGCTAAAACAAACGAAACAAAACGTGACTAGCTTTCGTTTTGCGGTGGTTAATTCATAAGCTATTGTTTGGTCGTGTCCGTGGCTTATTAATGCCAACCTTGACTTGTGGGAAAATTCAACGCGGAGAGTAAAAATAATAATAATAATAATAGATATATACTTATAAAGCATGGGCTGCGGTGCGAGAGAGACCGTTTACGGGAGCGAGCGGTCACTTAATTACGAGAGTGGAGAGAGCCTTGGAACGGCAGGAAACATTACAAATTGTACAAAAAATGATATATTATATTACATTACACTCGTATGTGCTCGCTGACGGAAAAAAAAACAGTTAAAATTAAGCTAAGCAACAGTCGTTAATGCACACACTCGACAGAAGGAGATGGGGCGTAATAAATAACAACGGAAACCCGTGTATTCCGCGAAACACTCTATTATTATTTATTATTATCATCACCGAAAACTCATAAAAAATAATATAGTCACATGGAAAAGCAAAAGTGCATTAGCACCGTCGGGTCGATGCGCATTCATCCGAAAGTATTTTTATGCGCAAACACATACGTTTTTCACGTCCACCAGTAAACTTACTTACATGCAAAATGTTTGATTTAATTAGGGGTATTATATAYACTTATGTAARTAATTTTCTTTGTCTGTCTATTTCAGCGATTTTTATGGAAGTAATTGTGAGCCATTATAGGTTATAAAAACATTTATACCTATCTCATTTTAACAAATAAAT